CCAGGAGCCTGGATAAACCCTCGCTGCCCCGGGCGGCTGCCTCCGCTGACCAGCATCAGCCATTCATTGAGCTGCCTTCCTGGTCACCACCAGCCGCCGCCTCCCATTCCCCGGGATGTATATACGTGGGAGAGGAAAGCATAGCTGCCCCTGTTTTACAGGTGAGGAACTAGGCCAGGGGGCTTAGAAGGGCAGTGGGGCCTGGACATTACTCACTAAAGACCTCCAGTAATGACCTTGGCCATTATTTCCAAACTCGAGCTGGTATGCTCGCTGCCCACTTCATCCAGTGTAAAGCCATGTTATCCAAACACCCCACCGTTTGATTCTTTGTTCTGATGTTTATTTGCTGGGTGCTTTATTTTGTTCTAAGACACTGGGTCTTAGTGTCTTAGAGACTGGAAAACTGGAGGTGACCTGGGGACATTTCTGTGCCCTGCCTCTGGCTGGGGCTGACAGGGTGAGACTTGCCCGGGGCCACACAATGACCTGAGTCTGATGCCTGGTTGGGGGGATCCAGCAAGCCCACCTCAGGTCCCTGGTTGAGGGACAGGCAACTTCTGAGCCTTGTCTGTTATCGGGGGTGGTTTTCCTGCCTTGCTGGAGAGTAGCTGTGGGTGGGAAAGAGGTGCAGGGATATGGGAGGCACTCAGCACGGGTGCGGCACGTGATAGGGTGGGGGTACTACCATTTTTCAACCCGGTCTTCTGTCGAGCCTCATTGAACTTGGTTTTCTCATCTGTAGAATGGGTGTAAATAGTACCCATCTTGCAGGGCGGCTGTGATCACAGGAGCCCCCTCAGGGCCAGCTTCTGGACGCCTTTACCTCACTGTGGTTTACACTGTTGTCTCCTCCACATAGATTTTGTGCTGACTGAAGGTGAGGACGGCCACTCAACTCACATCAGCATCTCCACTGCCCGGCACACAGTAGGTGCTCAAGAGCTGGTCTGAGGTGGAGCTGGGGGGAGGCCGGAGGTTGGGGGCCATCAAGGATCATGAGCAGACCTAGGGGGGGTGAGGGGAGAGCAGGGAGGGGCAAGGCCCGAACTGCTGCCACAGAGCCCTGCCAACTCTCCTGGCCATTCCTCCTCTGGCTCAGCTGGGTCCTGGGGTCACCCCCTTCCCTTGTTTTCAGTGCTGGCAGGTTAGAGGGAGGTTGTTTGGGAGGGTGGGTGGGAGGGCTTGCTGGGCAGAGGAATTGTCTGGGCAAAAGTTCAATGGCGGCCTGGACTCCAGAGCTCAGGAGCCCTACCCAGGCTTGGGTAGACCCTTCCCTCTTCTGGCAAGGCTGACCCAGTCCCCACTTTACCCCCTGCCCCCAGGAGCCTTTGGGTACAGTCTATCCAGGCCTGAATGCTTTGTCCTGGGCCTATACCTCTTCCAGGGTTGTCTGTAGGGCTCCCTCCGGCCTGGTCGTCTGGGGTGTGCCACATCCACTTAGGCCAGACGGGCTGGCGGAGCTGGAAGGCCTTAGGACCATCTGCCCTAACGCATTTTACAGATGAGGAAGCTGAGGCCAGGAGAGGGCAGTGACTTGACCCTTTTAATCACACAGTCGGGTGGTTAGGGAGCCCAGTACTGCACCTGGGCCCTCAGATTCCTCCTCCAGTGTCTACCTGCTGCCCCAGGTTGATGGGGAGGCCTCGCCAGGGCCTGGGCTGGGGTCTGGCTGCCCTCTGAGATCTGGAAGCCGGGCAGGACCCGTGGCTGAGACTGGTGTCTCCCTGCAGCCCTCCTGCAGAGGCCGGGCTCCAGGACAAGATGGCAGCCAAGCAGCCCCCACCTCTCATGAAGAAGCACAGCCAGACGGACCTCGTGAGCCGCCTGAAGACCCGCAAGATCCTTGGCGTGGGCGGGGAGGATGACGATGGGGAGGTCCACCGCTCCAAGGTGGGTGGAGCTCGGAGGAGGGGCCTTGAACCAGTCACATGGGGTCTGCCTCTGAGCACCAATTTGGGGAGGCAGATCTGGCCCACTGTTTGGGGAGAAGAATAGCTGAGACCCATTACGGCGGCAGGGAGCCCCCAGATTTAGCTCATATTTTCTAGAAGTCTAATGGATATGTCAGAGGAATAGTAGCAATAATGAAAATGGATCGTTAGAATCAATTGAGTGCTTATTATTTGCTTGTTATGGCACCAGCTACTTTATAAGCATTATTTACCCTGGGAGATGTAGGGTCAGTTATCAACCCATTTTACAGATGAGGAAACTGAGACTCAGAGAGGTTAAGGACTTCCCCAGGGCCACACCAATAAGTGGCAGAGCCAGCCTTCAAGCCCACATCTGGCAGACCTCTGAGCTTTCATCCTCAGCCACTGTATTTTCAGCTTCCCATAAGCCCCGGTGTCAGGAGGAGGAAGAGAGGGTGTGCCTCAGTGTGACCCTCCCAGCCTGGGTGACCCTTTGGCTAAGCAGAGCCACCTGGGCATCCAGGGGCCTCTGGGAGGGGGTGAGTAGACTGGGCAGGCAGAGCTGTCTTCAGCCTGGTTGCCTCTGACCCCTCTGTGTCCACAGATCAGCCAGGTCTTGGGCAATGAGATGAAGTTTGCTGTTCGGGAGCCTTTGGGCCTCAGGTGAGCATTACGAGTTTGGTGGGGGGCAGGGCTGGGCGGGCGCTCATCAGCCTTGCCCCTGTGTAGTCTTGTCTTTGGTTCCATCTCGTCAAATTCCCCCCCCCAGACCAGCCGTCCCTGGGCATCTGGGCTGGAGAGGGAAGGGTCCTGCGGGGCCTGGGGTGGCAGCAAGGGGTCTGAGTCTGACATTCCTCTCCACGCCTCCTCAGGGTCTGGCAGTTCGTTTCTGCTGTGCTCTTCTCCGGCATTGCCATCGTGGTGAGTCCCTGCCCCACCCCTGGGACCTGGCCCCCTCCCCTGCCCTGGAGCATCCTAGCTCCCATGGTCCTTGGTCCCAACTCCTCGTCACTGGAACCTCAGATCTTCTGTCCTGGTAGGGAGGGGTCGGGGGCAGTCAGTGTCCTGATCCTGGACTGCTACTGGGGAAAGGAAGGAGATGCCCAGGGGAAGTTTCCACAGTGAGCCCCTCACCCTGAGCCTCCCGCCCGCTGTCCGCAGGCCCTCACCTTTCCTGACCAGCTTTATGATGCAGTTTTTGATGGAGCGCAGGTGACCAGCAAGACCCCCATCCGCCTCTATGGCGGCGCCCTCCTCAGTGAGTATTGCTGGGGCAGACTCTGGGGAGGTGATAGGCAGCCAAGGGACCAATAGGGGCTGAGGGAACATGGGGAGCCTTCTTTGTGCAGGGGCTCCCCTTCTCAGAACCCACGCTTCAGCCAACAAGTCTGTCTCTGCTGGGTGTGTGCTGCCATCTTGTGGCCACTGGTAATGTCCCCAGGGGATTGGGACTGTCTTTAGCATCATCTGGGAGGAAGCACTTATTGAGTGCCTGCTGTGTGTAGTGCACCACCTAGGCATTGGGGTAGAGAAATGAAAGAAGCCCAGGCTCCGCCCTCCAGGGCCTTACAGCTCAGAGGAGGAGGCAAACTCAACACAGTGTCTGTAAAACCCTCGCCCTTGGACCGCCCATTTGATCCACTTCTGTTTCCTCTCCAACCTGAGTCACACGCAGCAGTGCCTGTTAGGAAGCTAAATGACAGCATTTAAAACCCAGCACTGGGGGTGTCCCTTCTCTTCTCCTAAACATTCTGTGGCTCCCTATTACCCGCAGACTGAAGTCCCAGCTCCTTCCGGTCTCTGATATTCAGGGTCATCTGTGGGGTGCTTCCAGCCTGCCTTCCAAACCTCTTTCCCCCACATCCCACGGTGGGCCTCGGACCCCAGCCGCACCTCCTGAGGCCCCTGTTTCAGAAGGCCTCCACGACTTTGCAACGCAGTTTCTCCAGCCTTGTGCCAGTTGCACTAATACTTGACCTTCAAGGGCCAGCGCCAGTAGCTCTGGGGTGGGGTTGGGGGGTGGGGACTGGGGCAGCTTCAGGCCCTTCAGCCACGCAATGGGAGAGCTAGTGTTACGGGTTATGGGTCAGGTTGGATGACGGAGGAGTTTTAATTTGAGCAGTGGGAGTGGGGGCAGGGCATGTCCGGGATCCTGGCTACTTTGTCAAAGGGTGGAGGACCGGGCCCCCTGCCGGTCCCCCAAGGGGGCGGGTGGATCGGGCTACTCCGCCCCCCACTCCCCTCTTTGTCCCCCACCCCAGGCATCTCCCTGATCATGTGGAACGCTCTCTACACGGCTGAGAAGGTCATCATCCGATGGACCCTGCTCACCGAAGCCTGCTATTTCTCGGTCCAGTTCTTGGGTGAGTCCTGAGGTGGGCAGTGATAGGGAAGCTGATGGGGTACAGGGTGCGGGCAGCTTGGCCCCTGGCCTCCCAACTCTTGCCATTTGTCTTCTGGGAAGTGATGAAAACCTGTGCAAGGGGGAGGGACTCTTGTGGCTGGGTTGACCTGTACACCTGCACACCTGTGCTCTCGCAGCTGATAGGTGCCTGTATCCTCCTGCATACACGCCTGTGCACCCACAATCCACTGCTCACCTGTGGACCCAGCACAGGTGTGATGGCACACACCCAGTTCTGCCCACATGATCGCCCCCCATACCTGCCGCGGTTGGGCAGCTGATAGGATGCCCCAGCTCAGGGCGGGGGTCAGTCAGGCAGCCACCCTGGGGCCCATGGCATCCCGTGCTGGGGGTAAGGGCTATCCCCACCTCTGACCTGTGTGCACCCCGGCCTCTCTCCCACAGTGGTCACTGCCACGCTCGCCGAGACGGGCCTCGTGTCCCTAGGGATCCTGCTGCTCCTGGCCAGCCGCCTCCTTTTTGTTGCCATCAGCGTTTACTACTATTACCAAGTCGGCCGAAAACCCAAGAAAGTGTAGCCGCCCGCCGGGCCAGGGGCCCCTCTGGGGCAGGGAGGCCTGGGGACCTCGGTTTCCCTTTGGCTCTGGAAGGCAGGAAGGACCCCGCCCCAGGCAGGCAGGAGTGGCCGCGTTCCCCTCCTCCTGGGCACTCCCCGCACGCTGTGATCTCCTGGGCCCTCAGGTTTGGGGAGGGATGGAGCCTCTGCACCCCATCCTTCCCCCCACACGGTGACACCTCCTGTTCATGGGTGTCTCGGCCTCTGGATCCCCTGGACAGATACGTAAGGAAGAGCCTGAGTCACAGGCATCCGGCCAAGGCCAGGCTCCTGCTCCTCTGTCACAAGGCCCTTCTCTCTTGAGAGGCTGTGGACCGCCTCCTTGCTCTCCCCCAGGCCCCCAGCCAGTCTAGTGCCCAAGCAGCTGAACTTGGCTTCTGCCCATCCCTGGAAATCCTTAGAATTTGACCCCGGGCCCCTTCCCTTCCATGCGGGCGCTCTCCACATGTAGGGGACCCTCTGCCCCCTAAACACACAGCTCAGCTGTGGGCTGGCAGGCAGCGGTCCACCTTTGACTCCTGGCACCTCCCCTTCCGCCTTCTGTGAGGTGGGCTGCAGGTAGCAGGGCCCTGTCCTCAGCCCCGGCCGCCTCGGCCTCTCCTCGGGCCTCGCTCTTGGCTGCTCTGCCTCCACGCAGCTCCTGAAGGCCCCTAGGTGCCCCCTCTCCCAACTGGCCTGGGTCCAGAGGCTGCCAAGGGCCTCAGCCACAGGCCGGCCCTGACAGATGGACACCCGGGTAACCCCAGATGGCGGCCACCTGTAAGTGATGGGGTTTGTGGTTGAGGGAGAGAGAGAAGCATGTCTTCATCACTTGGCATGTCCTCCAGGGTCCCAGGGGCACCTGGCTCAGCCCCCTTATCCCCCCTCCCCAGGGTGCTGCCCTCTGGCCTGGGGTGCCTCTGGGGCCCGGCTGGGTAGGACTGGGTGCCCTTCAAGCTCAGCAGGGGCAAAAAATAGAAATATTTCAGCAAAGCCGCCTCCTCTCATGCCCAGCCCCCATCAGATGCCCTGGAGGAGGCCGACAGCTGGCTCCCTCAGAGATGAAGACCCCTGCAGGCCCAGCAGCCTGTGTGCCCCCCGTGAGTCCTTTACCCGACGCCCCCCTTCCCTCCGGCACCCCAGGAATGGCAGCCCCCGTGTCCTGGGGACAGATGTGGAGAGAAACAGCCCCGGCCCCAGACTTGCTTCCCGTCTTGGAAGAGAGTGTTTAGGGGGCGAGGTGGTTGGTCCTTAGGTGCAGCCCAGCTCTGGCTGCTGCGACCTGGGCCCGGGGCCTGCCCACGCTGGGCCTCGCTGCCCTCCCCGTGCCCAGCTGTCCCTGCAGCCACACGTCCAGGGACACGGCCTGTGCCCAGCGGAGCACGGCACCGGTGCTGTTAACACAGCCGAGGAGAGAAGCCCAGCGGGTTGGGCGCCCAAGGCTGTGCTGCTGGTAACCGCGGCAGAGCGGAAGGGAGGCTAGACACTAAGGAGGGGCCGTCCTCTCCTGGCCTCCGTCTCTCGAGGCTGAAGTTCGTGCCTCTTGGCAGAATCCTGCCCCCAACCGCCGAGCCCCAGAGCCACGGCAGCCTCTGGGAAGTGGTGCTGGCTGGTGGGCAGTGCCTCCAAGCCAAGGCATGTCTTCTGAGCTGACCCGTGCTTTTTGAGGCCTGGCTAGCACGCCGCCAAGCGGTGGATGGTCTGTCCTAATGACCGCTGGGCTTGGCGGATAGATTTCCCCCAGGAGGCTAGCAGGGCAGAGGGAAGTCCGGGCGCTGGATCCCGGGCTTTGTGCCCAGCGTCCGCGGGGGCTGAGCCAGCCAAGCTGAGGGAGGGTGGCAGGACCTTGTCCCCGGGGGTGGTAATGCGGGCCTGCCGGGATGATGCTGTTCTGGCTCTGTCCCTCCTAAAGGTTTGGGAGAACCCAGAATGCCCCTTCCCCGGTTCACTTGCCAGCCTCCTGCCTCGGCCCAGCTTCCCCACCCCGCCCCCAAACCAAGATCACCTTTCCTCACGGTCACTATTTATTCTTCATTCCTTTCTCTTTTTGTAAGAAACAGTCACAAAAACCAGTGCAAAACCATCAGTGTGGGCGTCCTGCTTTATATTACAAAAACTCCTCTTGATATAGAATATAAAAAAGGGAGGCTCACAGGAAATAAACTTGATAAATTAGCTCTGCTACCTACCGCAAGGAACGCTTAGAGTTTTCAAAATAGACTTTCGACATAGGACCCACCGGGGAGGGGAAGAGGGGGCTTCTAGGGAGATGGGGGTGCTGGGCCTCGGCCGGTTTGGGGGATCCTGTCTGGGCCCCTTAGGCATGGAGAGGAGAGAGGGGACAAGGGAGGCTGGGGAGGGGCCCCAGTGCCCAGCCACTAAGCAGGGAAGGTGGGCTTCGGTGCTGGGCGGGGTATGTGACCAAGTGCAAGGTCTCCCCTGGCACCTGGCCTGTTAGCGGGGTCAGGAAGTCTCAGCACAGAGGCTTCCTACCCTCCTGCCTCCCCCAGCAGCCCCAAATTGCCATCTGCACCTATTAGGGGCTGTGGCTTCTGGCCTTTGCCTTCTCGTGCCCCCTCAGAACGGCCGCTGGGAGCCTTGCAAATAGCTACCAGCCTGCGTTAATGCTACAGAGCAGAGACGCCTGCTTCCCCTTTCCAGCCCCAGAAGCTGGTCAGTGGGGGCAGATCAGGGCTCCTTGGCCCCTTTCTGGAGAGCCCTTGGGGATGAGGGTCTTACATCTGCCCTCAAACCCCCCTCCCCCAGGTGTTCCTCCCCGACCAGCCTTTCTTCTCGGGGGCCCGGAGGGGGTGGTGCCCGATGCCCGGCTCTTTTTACCTTGAAGGCCCCAGATCCTCCTGGGCAGTGGGGACCAGATGGGGCCCTGACACCTGGGGCGCCCCTGGACCGAAGTCACACAGCTGCCCAATTTGACCCTAAGCCCTGCCTAGCCAGCCTG